AATTAACAAATACTGGATATCAGTTACCTCCTAAGTGATTTTGGTCTTCAAATTTTTAACAAATATCAAATAGACTGTCAAACATTAGTAAATAATGAAGTCTGAAATGAAATAAGCTATGACGCATTAGTGAATACACGTGTTACACCTACGAAGCCTTTTGGAGCCTCTAGTGAAACCTTAAAAATAGCATAAATTATGCCCATATATTTGGTCAAAACATTTCCTCCAGTATACTGACAAATACAGGATATCAGTTACCTCCTAAGTGATTTTGATCCTCAAATTTTCCACAAATATCAAATAGACTATGCAGCATTAGTAAATAATGGAGTCTGAAACGAAATAATCTATGAACCCATTAGTGAATATAAATGCTACACCTATGGGGCCGTTTGGAGTTTCTAGTGAAACCTTAAACAACCTACATCCAAACTAGTGTAAATTATGCCCATTTACTTGGTCAAACATTTCCTCAAGTATATTGAAATTAACAAATACAGGGTATCAGTTACCTCCTAAGTGATTTTGATCTTCAAATTTTCAACAAATATCAAACCGAATATCAAACATTAGAAAATAATGGAGTCTGAAACGAAATAGGCTATGAACCATTTGGAGTCGCTAGTGAAACATTAAACAACCTACTCGAATTCAATCCAAATCATGCCTATATACTGAGCAATAAAGTTTCCTCCAGTGGAATTCACAAATACATGATATTGCTTACCTCGTAACTGATTTTGAGCTTCGAAATTTCAACAAATATGATAATGTCGTCAATTTAGAGCAGCACATCTACCCCCAAAAAAAGTTCAACCTTCCTCTCCTCAACAATTCCAACTCAACGCCAATTTCCAATTTGCTCCAACACTTTAAACCGACGACTCCAGAACCAGAGGGTCTCGAATCCTCAAGTATTCGAATTCAACGCCAGTTTCGACCGTGCTCAACGATTCTAACAAGGTGTCACGCTCACCAGTTTTTTGGTAACCATATGGATCCTCAAGGCTTCACGAATGCAAGGAACACAATCATCAAACCAGAAAAATGAAAACAAAAAAAAGAAAACAGAAAAAATAATTACAGTGCTACATGTGCTCTTCAGGATAATAGCTTGCTTTGTATGCTTTGAATGACCAAACCAGAAAATGAACAGCTGTTTTGGAGGGGTAGATGTGTTCACTGTTTTTCCAGAAATAGAATATCAAACCAGAAAAAAGAAGAAAACCATGTTCTTTGACAGAGTGACGAAGAGAGACACAAACAGACAGAGAGAACAAACTTTTTTTGGAGGGAGATATTGTGGTCTTCAAGAGCACAATACATCTGTTTTGGAGGGAGGAGGGCGCGTTCTAGTGGAACAGTTTCAGACATGTTCAGTTACAATTGCTTTTGAGCAGCCGTTAGATTTGATCCAACAGTGTTCTCAAGAAGAAGTTTGCAAAAAGAAGTTCCCACCAGAGAATAGCCCATCACGGAAAACGCATCCGGCCCACACGAAATTTGGATCGCATGTAAAGCCGCGGCAGTCTTCTTCTTCCAAGCGTGATCAGCTTCTTCTGGTACAGTAGGTTTAGCTGTAGCCTCCACTACGTCCCAAAGGTCTTGAGCCAGCAAGTAATTTTTAACCAACGCACTCCAATGCTCACATTGGCGGACCCAATGAAGGACAACTGTGGGCACTTGCCCACACTTACAAAAAAGTTGCAGCTGTATAATCCCACCCAAACTCATATTTTTTAATTTTTTTTAGGTCTTTCTTAGGTGGAGCCCCCACATGGCCTATCCAATACATACACTTTAAATTTAAAGTTTATATTAAAAAAGAAAAACCCTACGTTATAAAAGAAGAATACAGATCTCACCAAGTACACTCATTCTGTAATTTTTTGGAGAACTTAGTCATCAAGTTCACTTTAAACCCAAATATTTTTTGTTTGACTATATATCGGTTGGATTTTTTTTTAAGCCCCCAGATGAATGGAAGTCTGGGTCCGCCCGCCACTGAATGCTCATAGTTATCTTTGCAAAGAACATCAACAACGATTGCACCCGCAGGAACCAGGCCTTTCACCATTCTTAGTCCTGCCCAGGCTTGCTATTTTTTTTTTCTTTTAAATTTTGAAAAGAACATTCGCATAATTGGGGTTGAGCAAATCTTAATAATAAATTTCTGACATTTCTTCTGTTTCTTATCCTTATCCTTTTCCTTGTCTTAGCTGGCAAAAGTTGTTTTTTTTCTCATGATCTGGGCAATAGTTGGCTATGCGATAGGGACAGCCAACCAAGGCATCGGTGTGTTATGACTTATAAGTCTCCCTCCTCTTTTCAAACAAAAAATAATTGGGTACACACTTGGATTTAGGGAAGCAAAATAGTGCGATATTTAAATTGTAAGAGCACTTCCACTTATTTACCATGACAAAGGGCAAGGAGAGGCAAGGGCTGTTACTATTTACATGAATAGTGGCAGCTCTTGCAAAAAGCAAGGTGTGTTTCCACCCATTGCCATGGTAAAGGGCAAATATTATTCACTTTTAGTTTTTTATTTTATTTTTTTACCTAAACAATTAATTTAGAGAATATTTTCGGATGCCACATGTCATTTTTTATTATATATAATTATCATCTCATATTTCGGATAATTTCCGATAAAATTTTCATATTAAATTTTTGGATAAGATTTTCGGTTGCCACGTGTCCATATTTATTATAAAATTCACATCTCAAATTTCAGATAAAATTTTTGTATAAGATTTTCGGTTGTCACATATCCATATTTATTATAAAATTCACATCTCACTCATCATACAATTGAAATACTCATGGTCCTCATAGTCTGACACAATCGAGTATAAGGATGACTCAATCATTGGCGGAGGCGATTCCACCAAATCACGACGTGGTGGAGTATTTTCCTTCAGAGGACGTAATAGTGCCATTATTTCCGACACGGAACACACCAAGGGAACCGACTGCAGGCATTGTTCACTTGAGGGGCCATGTGTAATGGTTTTCCTTATTTTTGTTTTGCCTTGAATAATCTATTTAAAAAATTGAATTGGAAATACAAGAAAATATAAAAAAGAATGACATTAAATTGAATAAAACGGCAATTAATTTTTTACCTCGTCGCCAAGATTTTGACTTCTTCAATCATTTGTCCACGACTCTCCGGCTTCGATGGAAGATGCCATAAGATGGTGAATAAAAATGAAAATTGAAAGTGAAGAAAATTTTGTGTACAAAGTGAAAAATAATAGAAGGAGAAGAAAATGTTTGAGGATTTGGTGTTGGAAGTGAACAACATTGGTAGGTATTTATAGGGGAAAAAAAATTACATAATTTTTTTGGTAATTTTTTTTAAAAAAATTTGGATTTTTTTTAGATTTTTCAAGCCAATAAAAAAAAAAGGACAGTCGTTGGATTTGATGAAAAAACCATTGGAGCGACCAGAACGCGCCACATGGCATGTTACCGTTGGCGAAAAGCAAGGCTGACGACAACTTGGCGTTAGCGCACATAATTTCAAATTTTTTTTAACGTTGATGCATGTAATGCTGACGTCAGCAACCCGAGGGTTGGTTTTGCCTGCGGGCTAGCCCGGTCACATGGGACCCGCAGCTTGGCCAGTTGGAAGCGCTCGCCTGGGCCTGGGCCCTGTCCTGACCTGGCTGGAGGCAACGGATGGAATCGCTCTAAGGCCTTCTCTAATCATTTTGGTCCTAAACCCAAATTTCCCCCTTCAAAAGGTAACTATTTGGGGTTTGCTTGGATTCAAATTGTTTTTCCCCCAACCCTCCAAACTCAAGTTTGAAGTTCACAACTTCATTAAATTGTTTAAGAATGATTCAAGTGTAATTTTTTTTTTCATGGATAACTTTTCTTCAATTAATCTTTTTAAATAACTTCATAATTTAATTTTTGAGATATTTAATTTTATACTCATTCTTAGCACTAGTGATATAGATAAACCCTACACCGTTTAATTTGTATAAACAAACCAAAAAAACCCAAAAATGACAACTTGCCTTATTTAATTTAATTTTCATTATTAAAGTACTTTGATGCCGATTGTTTTGGGTTTTTCTTATGAGGTTTTGGAGTTGAGCTTGTTTGAAGAAATTGATGGCAGTTTTGAAATTTATAGGAAGTTTGAAGCCTCTTTATTATGTTGTAAATGAGTTTTGGGTGTGTTTCTAAAGTCTATTTCATGTATGATAATTTGGGCCCCTATGTTGAGTATAATAGTGAATCTCCCTTAACTTTTTTGAACAATTTGACCTAATTTTTTTTTAATTCCACAAATATAATTTTATTAGAAAAAAAACACACAACATTTGCCCAAATTTGATCCGACAATGTTCTCATGTAATGTTCTTATTAGGGCTGGGCATCTATACCGTATATACCGAAACCGTGTCAATACCGTATCATACCATACCATATAATACCATACCGAACTCCCACCGAATTAAAACGGTATCATACCGTACCGTACCACACTTGTATGACACGGGTGCGGTATCAAATATCAGCCACCGTATGCCACCGTACCGTACCGAATAGTAACCCTAAACAAAAATACACGCAAGTTTTTTCACTCTCGACAACACTCGATCTCTCTCACTCAGACCCAGACTCTCAAACTCTCCTCCCACTCCCAGCCAGCTCTCTCTTTCTATCAAACTCTCGATCTTTCTCAGTCGCCCTTGATCGATCGAACCAGGCCAAACCCTTGGATCTCTGTCTCTTTCTCACTCTCTCACTCTCACGATCTCTGTCTCACTCACTCAATCTCTCGAATTTGATCGATCTCTCGATCTCTGTCCCACTCTCGATTCAATCTCTCTCTCTCTCTCTCTCGACTCGATCTATGTATCTCTCTCTCGATCTCTCTCTGTCTCAATCTCTCGATCTTTCGATTCAATCTCTGTCTCTCTCTCTCGACTCGATCTCTGTCTCTCTCTCTCTGTATCTCTCTCTGTCTCATTCTCTCGATCTTTCTCTCTCTGTCTTTGAAGCCCCAAATTGATGACCTGTTGATCTGTCAATCTGTCTGGAAGCCCCAAATCGACGAAGCCTGCTCCTCTCGATCACTCTCTCTATCTGGAACTGGAAGCCCCAAATCGAAGACTCAAACTCAAATGGTAAGTTTATGTTCAACAAATTCTCTGGCTGGAATTGAAACTTTTGATAATAAGCTTTTGATTTGCATTGATGAATTGATGAATTGATGAATTGATGAATTGATGAATTGATGAATTGATGAATTGATGAATTGATGAATTGATGAATTGATGAATTGATGAATTGATGAATTGATGAATTGATGAATTGATGAATTGATGAATTGATGAATTGATGAATTGATGAATTGATGAATTGATGAATTGAATTTATGAATTGTTGCTGAATTGATGAATGATGAATTGGCATATTTATGAATTGTTGCTGAATAGATGCCCAACCCTAGATATATTTGTGTCGTATTTATGTATGCCCAGCCCTAGATATATGTATGTTGGGTTCGGTATTTAATATTTATGAATTGTTGCTGAATTGATGAATTAGGACAATATCTACATTTATTTTGATGAAATTGTTGCTTAATTGATGAAATTGTTGCTGAATTGATGAATTGTTGCTGAATTGATGAAATGTTGCTGAATTGATTAAATATGTTGGAAAGAATGCATGTGAAGCAGAAACTGAAATGATTGGGGTTTATTTTGATTTTGTTAATTCTTGTCATACAATCTCAATCAAGCAAGCATAAGGAGTTTGTAATCCTTATATAAATATTATAAAAATAATATTCCCTTCACTAATTCAATTTTTCCAAATACCTATTCATAGTATAGACAATAAACTCTCAAGCATATATTCCATATTCGAGGAGGTACATAAGGTAGTGCTAATAGCACTCAAACTAACCTAAACCACAACCCAATCCACATTTCATAAACCATTTCCAACAACCCTATGTACATCAACACATATCTAAGTACAAATAACCATACTAAAAAATAGCACAAATTCATTCAAAATAATAACTTCCCGCAAATATACGAAAATAAATCCAATACTCTTCTAATCATATTATATTTCCACTTCAAAACATATAATAACTCAAAGTCAAAGGATTCAATATGCATATTTTTCTATCCTTGAAAATAATGAATATTAAAGTCCATTCACTTCCTTATAATCATAGCCGAGCCCAAGGCTCACTTTCACAACCCACCAAATCAAGTATCCCATCCTCATCTATTCCATAATTTCAATTATCAAAATAATATCTAAAAATTCCATAATATATTATAAATAAGCTCATACTCCCAATAATCAAAATAACTCAAATAACGGTCAAGACTCGTTCACATGGTCATGCTAGTAGTTCACGAAGGGTGAAACTACCTCAGAAGACTCACGGTCAATCGAGGGTCAAAATGTCCAAACTTGGTCATTCGGGCCCGCGAGGCCCATGACCTCCAATTTCCGATCCAAAAGTTCCTACGGGTTCAACAAGGTTTACTAAACATGTTTGCAAGTTTGGTATGAATCGAACGATTGGATCGATTGAGATCACACAATCGGATGGTTATCGTTTAACGCAATTTTAAGTTATTGAATCGGAACATTCGGGGCTCTGATTCACAATCCCCAAATTCCTACACGATCCTAGGGATGTTTATATCAACATACATTGAAAAGAAGTCGATTCAACGATCCGAACATATCGAACCCGGATAACGCCTAATATGTGATATCCGATCGACGATCAAACGATAACCAAATTCATATCCGAGCATATCGTCGTGCTCGGGACGACATGGGGATCATTTTAGAACAAGAGGGACATCAAAATAATGCCCACACGCCGCCACATGTGCTGACAGCTCGTGGGTGTCAAAAGTGATTCAGGCGATCGGAAAAATCTCCAAACCACCGGTCAAGACTTATACCTATATGATCAGGACATTGAGTTGAGCAACTTTTGTTCTTGAACCAACCCAAAAAGTCGACGAAAGTGACCGGAATCGGAGCCCGAAACCAGCCAAAATTTCCATCTCTTGAAATCATTTCAAAATGCAGAAATTTCTCCTAAATTACGCAACCAGTAGGTAGATCACAAAGAGAGGATGAGAAAACATACCAAATTCGAAGAAAATGGTAGCCGGAGGTGTCTGAACGAGCTCCGGGAATTTTCTCACGAAAATCGGCTAGTTTTCTGCAAAATCCAGTGGCTGTCGACGGTGGTGGCGGCTGGGATGGGGTGGAATGGGTAGAGGAGGGTGGCCCGGTTCTTTTGGGTCCGGTCCTGTGGACGGAGGCTGCTTGTGGCTACAGTGGTGGCTGTTTCAGAAAAAATGAAGGGGGAGAGGGCTACTCGAGCGAGCGAGAGAGAGAGAGAGAGAGAGAGAGAGAGAGAGAGAGAGGAAAAAAATCAGATTTATTAAAACCAATTTCAAGAAAATAACGGTTATGCCACTGAGTGTATATTGATTGTATTTTCTTCGTTAAAACTCCGATTTGAGCCCATTATGTGTCTAAGGACTCATCTCAATACGATCTACGCAATGGTACTAGTCATTTTCCCCAAAATCCTTCTAGATTAAAAAGTGACCAAATTACCCCTACCCTTGGGGCAAAATTGTAATTTCATATTTTATGAAATTAATTAAATTCATGAATAATTATATTTTCGGTTGGGATGTTACATTTATCGCGCCTTGATGGACAAAAGGTGCAACCTCAACTCACAAAGCTCATGCTCAGGTTGGCGATGAGACCCACATCAAATCGCCAACTTCATGCTCAAGTTGGCAAGGAACCAACCTCAACTCGCCAACCTCATGCTTAGGTCGGCATGAAACCCACCTCACCTCGCCAAGCTCATGCTCAGGTTGGCAAATAACCAACCTCGTATCGCCAAGCTCATGCTCAGCTTGGAATGGAACCAACATTAAATCACCAAGCTCATGCCCAAGTTGGCAAAGGACCAACCTCGAATTGCCAAGCTTTGGCAAAAGTCCTTGCTGAGCTAAGGCCCAGGTTGGTAAGAGTCCAACCTCAACATTTTTCAAGCTTAGGCTTATATTGGTAAGAAAATCAACCCCAAATTGCCAAGCTCAGCCCCGTGTTGGTGGAGACCCAACCTCACGGCATGCCGAGCTTAGCCTCAAATTGGCAAAGATCTATCCTCGAGACTCGTCAACCTCAATTGAGCTTCCTTCACCAATGCCATCATGATACATGGCGTCTATACCATTAGTCCATTTACACATCAAGTTATATTTCTCCCTTGCACGACAAATTATTATTTTCTTCGCAACTGCCCAAGTCCTTTTGCCACACTTGTTTTTTTTTTTATGGAGATTTGGGGACTCTTCATGGTGCTGATCTATGAGTTACTACAAAATTTATGATATGATTTAATATTGCCAGCTCGGCCAAATTATTAAAATGTAACTCCCCACACAGAACTCTCTTGTTTGGGGACTTGGGGGACTTATGTTTGTGAGGTAAAATACATCTAGGCCGAGCTCGGCTAAAGCACGACGACAAAGTTGAGTTCAGGCCCATATGGTTAGGATGAGCGAGTTGAGTTGAGAACCCTTGGCATAACCCTAAAACTACATCTCTGTATAAAGAACAATTAATGCATTAAAACCAACAACTCATTCACTCAAAAATAACATTAGAAGGCTGGAGGAGGGGAGGGGATGTTGAAATGTAAACTGCCTAGCTAATTTCTGATTAGTTGATTAAGCTAATATGTTTAGTTGAGTGACTTGAGCTAATATGCCAAGTGTAAGGTGTAGAGAAGCCAGTTATTTTCCAACGGCTCTTAGCCTTTGTGCTGCCATGTGTCATATCCACATTGGCTGATGTATTTGATTGGTTGAGCTGATGTAATGAGAATATACAAAAATACAAAAGGTGTGATCTCTGCAATGCACAGTAGATTGCATCTGAGAATATTTCCAAATCTAGATTTTCTCTTCTTAGCTCTCTCACTCTCTTCCTTCTCTTTGAGCTCTCTTGCTAATCCAAATCTCAACATGGTATCAAGAGCGAAGGTTGGATCTGGATAGTGGGCGTCAACACTGTGTGTGCTGAGCTTGGAAAATCCAACGAGAAATTTCCGACTCAGTTCATCGATTCCGGTCTCAAATGGCTGGGTCAAGTGGTGGTGATCTTCGAGCTCCAATATTCAATGGTGACAACTATGAATTTTGGAAGATTCGGATGAGAACCATTTTCAAATCGCACGGACTCTGGGATTTAGTGGAAACTGGAATCTCAGATTCTGGATTTAGTGGAAACTGGAATCTCATATTCGAAGGGGAAGAAGACTGAGGTAGAAGGGTCATCGACATCGGAGAAAGAAGCTCTATTAATTAAGGATGCTAAAGCTCTTGGTATCATCCAAGGAGCTGTCTCCGATGATATATTTCCCAGAATCTCGAATGAAGAAACCTCGAAGGGAGCTTGGGATATCTTACACCAAGAGTTTCATGGTGACAAACAGGTCAGATCTATCAAACTTCAAGGTCTGAGACGTGATTTTGAGTACACAAGGATGAGGGATGATGAGACCTTGTCAATGTACCTTACTCGTTTACTTGAGTTGGTAAATCAGATGAAAGGGCTTGGGGAAGATCTATCCAAAGGGCGTTTGGTTCAGAAATTGCTCATAAGCTTGACCAAGGAGTTTGATCCAGTCTGCTACGTGATTGAACAAACTAAGGATATTGAGGCCATTGAGGTACAGGAGGTGATTGCTGCCTTGAGAGGATTTGCTCAGCGCCTAGATAGGCATGCTGAGAACACTACTGAGAAAGCCTTCAGTAGCATGAGTGTAACTCAGAAGGGAGCACAATTCAACTCTGCCTCTGGTGACTTTAAGCCAAAGAAGAATTGGAAATCGAAGGGTAAAAAATGGGATCCTAAACCTCAAAACTCAGTTAGTCAAGGTGACAAACCTGAGCAGGTCAAGGAAAAGTGTAAACACTGTGATAAACTACACCATGGTGAGTGTTGGTTTAAAGGAAAGCAAAAGTGTCATGGCTGCAACCGGTTTGGACATTTCATCAAGGACTGCAATCAAGCAAAGGCAGGGAAGCTTGCTAACATTGCAAATCTGGTAACAGAACCTGCTACTATGTTTTATGCCTGCCATGCTGCCACTATTAGTAGAAATAAGAATGTTTGGTATATTGACAGTGCATGTAGCAACCATATGACATCTCATGAGTCTCTACTTGTTGATATTGATAGAAATGTGAGGTGTAGAGTCAAAATGGGTACTGGTGATCTAGTACAATCAACAGGAAAAGGCACTTTGGCAATTGAGGTGCAAGGTGTTACTAAATATATCAAAGAGGTAATGATTGTGCCTGGATTGGATGAAAACCTGTTGAGTGTGGGGCAGATGGTAGAACATGGGCATTGGTTAGTGTTTGGTGACAATATGGTTGATATTTATGAAGGAAAACAGATGAAAGAATTGATTGCAAGAGTGCAAATGAAAGGGAACCGATGCTTTCCCTTAGACCTTCAATATATCAATCCTGTCATGGCTAATAAGGCAACTCTGGAAGAATCATCTTGGTTATGGCACAGGAGATATGGACATCTAAACTACCTTAGTTTGATGCTCCTGCAAGAGAAGGATATGGTGCAGGGTTTGCCTAAATTGCAAGAAGTTGAGAAAGTTTGTTCTGGCTGTGCTATAGGCAAGAGTCACAGAAGTTCCTTCAACAAAGAAAAGGTTTGGAGAGCTTCACAGCCTCTAGAACTGATTCATTCTGACATCTGTGGTCCAATGCAGACCGTGACTCTTGGTGGGAACAAATACTTTCTCACTTTTATTGATGACCACACTAGAATGTGTTGGATATTTTTCTTGCAGTATAAGTCTCAAGCACTGAACATTTTCAGAAAGTTCAAAGTCATGGTTGAACTGCAGTGTGGTTACCAAATTAAAAAACTGAGAAGTGACAGAGGAGGAGAGTACACATCTCAGGATTTTTCAAAGTTTTGTGAAGAGATGGGTATAGAGAGACAGTTGACGGTTGCTTACTCTCCACAACAGAATGGGGTTGCAGAGAGGAAGAATCGCACTGTGATGGAGATGGCGAGAACAATGATGTATGAAAAGAAGATTCCACTGAAGTTTTGGGGAGAAGCTGTAAATACAGCAGTGTATCTGCAGAATAGAAGTCCAACAAGTGCTTTGGACAATACAACACCATTTGAACAGTTTAGTGGGAGAAAACCAGGTGTCAAACACTTGAGAATTTTTGGCTCACTATGCTACATTCATGTTCCCTCTCAGAAAAGACACAAGCTGGAGGAAACTGGAATGAAAGGGATATTTGTGGGATATGGCAGTTGTGAAAAAGGGTATAGAGTACTCAATTTGAGAACTCAAAAGGTTGAGTTGTCTAGAAGTGTCATTTTTGATGAAGAATCAATGTGGAATTGGGAAACCAATGAGGCAGTGCATATCTCTGTGCCATGGACTGATGAATCAAGTTCACAAACATCTGACTTGGTTTCAGAACTAAGTGATTTACAACAATCACCCTCTAGTACAGACTTGCAAACTGTCCAAGAATCAGTTACACATGATTCTACAACCTCAAATCAGGAAATCTATGATCACACTCCAAGGAAATGGAAGAGTTTGGATGAAGTGTATGCTCAATGCAAGATGAGTATCATTGAACCTGAAAGTTTCAGTGAAGCAGTCAAAGATGAAGCTTGGAAAAAGGCTATGACTGAAGAGATATCCATGATAGAGAAGAATTCCACTTGGGAATTGGTTGACAGACCAAGCAGCAAACCAATTGTGGGAGTAAAGTGGATATACAAAACAAAGCTAAACCTTGATGGCTCCATTTCAAAACACAAGGCAAGACTTGTAGCCAAAGGTTATACACAGAAACCAGGGATTGATTTCAATGAAACCTTTGCTCCTGTAGCAAGGTTAGACACTATTAGAACTCTTATTGCACTAGCTGCACAGAAAGGCTGGAAACTGTGGCAACTAGATGTCAAATCTGCCTTCTTAAATGGCATCCTTGAAGAAGAGGTTTATGTTGATCAACCTGATGGCTTTGTGGTTAAAGGGGCTGAAGACAAGGTGTATAGACTGAGGAAAGCTCTCTATGGGCTAAAGCAGGCTCCAAGGGCTTGGTACAGTGAAATCGACACTTACTTCTCTCAGTGTGGTTTTCACAGAAGTCCAAGTGAAGCTACTCTTTATGTGAGAGTCAAAGAAGGTGTTGGCACACTAATTGTGTCAATCTATGTAGACGACATAGTGTATACTGGAAGCAGTGATGCAATGATAAAAGAATTCAAGGCTGAGATGATGTGCAAGTATGAAATGTCTGACTTGGGGCTGCTCCATCATTTTCTTGGTATGGGAGTAACTCAAACTGAAGGGAGCATCTTTATCCATCAAAAGAAGTATGGGGAGAGATGCAAAGTGTTCTCCTACTCAACTATATCTTCATAATTGAAGAACAATTAAAATCTCAAGTTTTCATTACAGTACCCCAAAACACTTACATAGTGAATACAAACAAGCTTCTTAGAAGCGATGACAACATTACGAAAGTAATATACAATTATTTCATTTCTAAATAAAAAATAAAATATATATTTCATTCACCATCAGGAATTTCCATCCACCGTTTTACTTTCTTGTCAAATATTCCTCCTCCATATGTAGAAATGAAAATCTCTTTGAGAAGGCGAAATTGCATCCCAATAAATAAGGCGACTGGAATGATGGCGAGGAAAATGATTGGGATAACAACCTGTAATCTGTCATGAAGCATAAGGAAAAGGCCAGAACAAAAGGCAACCATCATGGTAGCGATGGAGATCAAGAGCGTTGAAAGGCCTATTATCATCTTTGTGGGTAAGGATTTGAGGAAATCATCTTCCGCATAACGTGATGTAAGGATTCCCAAAAACATTAGCACTGAAGTTACGGAAGAAAAGAGAGATATAGCATCTGAAACTATGAAAACTATAAAAACATGATGGTAAACATGATGGTAAACATGATGGTAACAGTGAGAGCCTTCTCCATCCTTTTTATGTAAGAATATGGGAAAGCCTTCTCCATCGTTTCCACCAGGAACTGTGAAGGCTGCAGCAAACATGATGGTAATAGTGAGAGCACCTACAACTGTACAAGAAGTAGCTGTATCTTTCATCCACTTTTCTCCTTCTTCCTTCAATTTCTTGTGGTTCTGGGTAAATACTTCATGGGGTCTCTTACCCTCTTTATTGAAAGCTCTCACTCCCGAGGGTAAAACTACAATACTCTTAACCTCCTGCATTTCATTAAACAAAACCTAAAGTTCGTTGTGGCTGCCAGGTAATTAATTATAGAATCACTGCTTTTATGGACTGCAACATAATACAAGAAAGAAATACAAGAAGCATTGCTGACCACAATGTAATAAAAATTGTTTGATGCCAAACTGCATATGGTACCAAACTGAAATGAATCCTAAAATATTTGAAACCTTAAACAGGTCCTTCCTTGTTCACTACTTTCCGAAATTGATAGAAGGGAAGTTGCTTTGCAATGGGTAGTGTTTGGATTATGGGGAACTTGGAAATGCAAAATTTTAATTCTCTTTTCTTTTAAGATTTGATGGCGAATCCTTGATTTGTAGCTTTCTGTGATGCCAGTACTCCGAGTTAAAGAGGCTAAAGGTTCTACCCTATCTTTGGTGAATCCATAGCCTGTGGTATGTAGCGCAGTGGAGGTTGTGGAAATTGACGGGGCGATTAAAATCGATTTTGGTGGTGCATGGTTTGCAAGTTCTTCTTGTGGTGGGTATGGTTGCATTGTGCGGCAGGGTGTGGGCTTGTTTAAGGCTGCTTGTGGGTTTGGTTGTTTTGTTTGTAGCTCAAGCGTGGGGGCTAAGGCGGAAGCTACCCGAGATGGACTACAGATTTATGTGCAGGAGATGCTTATTAAAACTGATCCAAAGGTCATGGTTGACATAATTATTGAACGAGAAAAATTTATCTCCTCAAATATAACAACCATCTGATCTGGGCATTTCTATTTCTACAAGCAATACGGTTTTTTTTATTTTTATTTTTTTATAAATATTTTGAAAATGGTTTCAACCATTCATGGAAAATAATTCTAAAAGAGATTAAAAAAACAAATTCATTTGGCACCAAATATAGAAAACAAGAGTGAAGGAAGAAGAAGATTTCAAAGATAAGGAAAAAATCTTCCTCATATCTACATGTCTAGGGGAAACTTTAGAGCTTTTGAAGTTACTACTCTATTTGTATATGTTTCCTCCACAACATACCAACCACATTTATAAGCTACCGCCCCAAGCACCTAACATCCCACAACTAAGATATAGAATGAAGATATCTAACCTTGAACCATTGTCTTTCTCTCTGCATTTGCAAGGCTGCACCTGAAATACAATCAAGTTTTTCCGTTGGAGATAGCATCCCTGCAAGATGTAGCATATCATTTCCAAAAGCGTCTGAAAATGTTGCAATAAGATTTCTTTGACCAACCCCATATATAAGGCTATAAACTTTTTCCTGGCGACACTCAATTGAATAGTGAAATATGTTCCTTCCCATTGAATTGCTTCGCCACAATACATCCGGATCTACTTCACATAAACGAATAACGAACTCAATAATCCCTCTTCGGACAGCTTGGAATACTGCTTCATAAACAAGGCCATCTTCCCTTTCTTGGATATCTACACGTTCTACTTCACTTAACATGTATTTCAAAATAGATCGCCAGCGATGATGGACCCATTTCATTTCACGTATGTGGTTGATCCCTAGGTTGATGTCGAAGAAAATATTACAACCACTTTTTATAGAAGTAAAATAAGTTGACAGTTTAAAAAGTTGATAAATAAAAATCAATGTGCAAAGACACCAACATATAAAGATGAAAATGAATGTTGCATACCTAAAAGGTTGTGGAGGGTAGAAGGAATCCCCTGCAATAAACCTAAGAGTGCAATGCAGATTAAAAATCACAATATGTTGGCACAAAGTTTTAATTCGTCAATTAGATTATATATGAATAGTAAAAGAAAGAAAAAAAACCAAGAAAAAATTATATGCTTGTTTACCATTCTTTTGTGCTTCATTTGTTATGTTAGACTTGGAAACCCTCATTAAAAATTTTGTGTTAAATATTTAACGCATCATGTCAAACTATTATTTTATGCACAACCATGAATATGAAACCAAAGGTCGAACCTTAACCATAAGATGAACATGCCATGTTCACACGAGAGTATTATATGTGCGAGGTACAAAGCATGAATGTGCTTTGCTATATATTTTATTTTTATTTATTTTTTTAATATCACAACGTCATATTGATTATATTTTTTTATACATGCAGCTCATCTTGTAACAATTTGATTATCTAATAATATATTATATCTTTTTCTCAAAAAAAAAGTTATTGTTTATGAGCATACTAGAACAATTTTCTTTCACCAAACTATGTCATGATGAACTTCTTATTAAACAGATGCATTATTGCAAAAGTCTGAAAAAATGACAAGAATATATATACAGAAAATGATTGCATTTGATTAAACCAAAGCTGGGGTTTCGAGATCTAGCAAACCTGAGAAACTGATATTTCTTTGGTTACCGAGTTCATTTTCTGGATTTTGAACATTTTCACTAACATCAGGGATTGCAGGAGGTTGTATGTGTATACCTATCAAGAAAAGACAACAAGCTTAGTCAATAAATTTTATTTTTTTGAGTAAAACTGAAACTTTCATTAATTCAAAGAGAAGAAAAGATATCATGTGACAGAAGAGGAATCACCCTCGGTGCCTCCTCAACCCAAGAGATGAAATTTGTACAATTTAGTGCATACTTTGCAATGGAATGAGCTACTTGGTGCTAAGAACTGTAGGGTTTGAATATTTGGATGATTGTGTTATTCAACATGAGAAGGAATATATAAGGATATGTCAACTAAACTAATTTAGGAAATAAATCTCCTTGATTTCCGTAAATTATTAACTTATGTAAACACTCCCCCTCACGTTGGTGCATACACATGGCCAATATGCCCAATATTCGGTTTGGTTCCCACCCATAACTGAAACTAGAATTGAAACTATTCATTTGGTCCAGTTCGGTCTAGTTACTAGCTAACACTGACATTAAACCGAACAGCCTAGGACAGGTTTTGGTCCAGTTCGGTTCTCTCGATTTTAGCGAATCTGAGCACAATTAATTTTTTGAGGATTTTTCGAGATTCAAGCCAAACAATTCCTTAGCCTTGCTATGAGGAGCCAAAAAAACCAATAGAGTTAAAGATAAACGCAGATCTGCTCATCCAAGACAGAAATAGAGATACAGATAAATTGAAAACGCAAAAGAAGAAATAGAAAAGAAAACAAATTAGAATAACATAGAAGCAAGTTATTGCCTCTTTATTATTGTATCTCTTGTTGTTGAGCTCAAAACCAACAGATAGAAAATGACAACACCTCAACACTTCATAGCTTATATCATGTACATCAAAATCTAGAACCAAAGTCTGGATCTTCAAAACGAAGACAGAAAGAGTGAAACAAAAAATGAAGAAAAAAAAAAAGAAAAACGAAAGAAAAACAAAGAAACAAAGGAATAAAGAAGAGGAAGAAAAGAGAGGAAATAAAGAAGAAGGGAGATAGGAAAGAAAAGAGAGAAAAAGAGAAGTGCGGCTCTAAGAAAAAGGTAAGCTAAGCTATTACATTTCCTTTGTGTCAGTTTTTCTCCCCAGTTTGACTCGGTTTACCGGTTCTACGGTTCCGATGCACACCCCTAAGTCAATCCAATTATTTTTTTTTTTTTTTGGAGTAAAATTGAAGCTTTCATTAATTCAAAGCGGACAAAGATATCCTGTGAAAGAAGAGGAATCACCCAACTCGGTGCGTCCTCAACCCAAGAGATGAAATATGTACAATTTAGTGCATACTTTTCAATGGAATGAGCTACTTGGTGATAAGAACTATAGAGTTTGAATATTTGGATGATTGTATTTTTCTCTTTATAAGGATTTACATCAGTGCTTTATAAGGAAATAGATACAATAAATGAAATATATGCTTATGATACGGGGATATGTCAACTAAACTAAATAGGAAATAAATCACCTAGTTAACTCACGTCAACACTCCTCCTTAAGTTGGTGCATATGCCCAACTTTGTAATTGGGTTATGAAATACTTGTTCAGAAACAGCTTTTGTCAAGACATCTGCTAACTACTCTTCTGATTTAAGAAAATGCATGCAAATAATCTTGTTCTTAATCTTCTCTTTGATGATGAAGCTGTTGGCCTCAACATGTTTTGTCCAATCATGTTGAACTGGATTATGAGCAATATCAATTGCCGAGTTATTATCACAATTAACTAGACATCGTAAGTTTTATGCACATACAAAGATCTTCGAAAACGGACAAGTGTGCAATTTTCGGTGATTAAGTTGGTTCTTTGACGCTAGCTCATTCCATACTTTCAGTTTCAAATATCAATTTTCTGATTGGTAGAAGACCTAGGGTTTGAATCTTGGTGAATCAAGACAATAAGTCTTCATCTCAATCAAAAAAAAAAAAAAAAGAAGACAATAAGTCATTTTCGGCTATGGAGATAGAGATTGGGAAACTACAAAACCTACTGACCTAGGTGACTTGGGGATGAAGAATGTGATTAGTGTGAATATAGCTGTTTATGAACATATATATGCTTCCAAAATCACAATATGTTGGCACAAAGTTTTAATTCGTCGATTAGATTATATATGAATAGTAAAAGAAAGAAAGAAAAAATTATATACACTTGTTTACCATTCTTTTGTTCTTCATTTGTTATGTTAGACTTGGAAACCCTCATTAAATATTTTGTGTTAAATATTTTACGCATCATGTCAATCTATTATTTTATGCACAACCATGAATATGAAACCACAGGTCGAGCCTTCACCATAAGATGAACATGCCATGTTCACACGAGAGTATTATATGTGCGAGGTACAAAGCATGAATGTGCTTTGCTATATATATATATATATATATATATATATATA